TAGTGGATGGAACACACACAATTTCCATGCAACAGTATGCTAATAGCACATTGCATCAATCAGGAAGGCATTTACATTTTTTGTCTCAATGTAGCATCTATTCTGGTACACCGAGCTTTAGTCCTCACATTTGTTTACATAAACGAAGTGTTTAATTTCTGCTGTTTCATTTCTATCTCATTTAGCACATATTGCAAGATAAAAGGGGCCTCATTCTTAAGGACATGAGAGATCTGAGCTTGTGGGTAAAGCTACAAGCTATGTTGTTCCATTTCCCAATCAGTATGCCTTTGTAATGGATGCTTGTCCTTTAATGGAACCTGTTAGAGATGTTTTTCTCCAGTATGGATATTTACTAATTTTGTCAAAGTTATAGTTTTTCTGGTGCCAATGCCCCACCCACCCCATCTCCCTTCCGCTCCTCACAGTAATACCTGTACTAGTAAATCCTCCCGTCCTCCTAAGGTTCCCAACATCAAAAACTGTTGTACTAAAGTGCCCTCTCCTAATGTAGCAGAGGGCCCAAAATAAAAAACAGGACAGTACATCAATTTCACGAGCCGCTACCATTTTCTAGTACACTACAACATTTTTTGGCCTCGGGTAGAGTACACGTCAAAATGTGACGTTCTATTAGAAGGACGATTGGGCAAATTGCTCCCTACCCTCCCTCCCTCTCTAAGCACTCAACATGTAAACAGCAGTCACTACTATAGCTAGAAACATTTTCAGTAAACCCATTAATAATGGTATCCCCCTGCCTTATGCTAGATATCTCATTACAGATCTGTAAAACTTAAAGATAGGGAATCAAAAACAAAACACTCCAAATGGTACACATTTCTCAGTCCACCCAAAATTACAGTAGATAAAATGTCAATAAGCTTTAATGTATCCAATGCACTTCCACCATTACAAAACCTTAACTGGTGTTAATCCAACCCAGCATGCCAATCCATATTTAACAACTGTTGAAAAAAAATAGTTATTCCAATGAAAACCAAAATCAAGCAAAACCCATGAAAAAATTGCTTTTGCATGAAGGAAACCTAATCCAAACATCAGGCATCAGTAAGTCAATTTTCATATGGCTTGCAGAATCCCCAAAGAAGGAAACCCCTGCAACTGTTATCTTGCACCTAACATGTTAATTAAAATGTAGCATTTAGTTCTTTAACAAATGTCTTAGTGCATATGCTTATTGCTTTTGAACAGTAAGTCTATCTTACCTTACAGTCCGTATACAGTATTCATTTTTACAGCAGAGATAAAAATGATTTTGACAGGATCTTCAAAGTTCCTTTACGACAATTTATACAAGGTGGTGCATAATGGAGGATACTGTAGAGTTCCAATCAACTTCTATGATATACTTAATTAAAAACACTAATGCATAAAATTATTTTACTTGCTATTATGACAACTGCACATTTTGTTTCCCACAGAAAAACTACATTCCTATTATACTTTAATTCCTGATCAGAGTAAGATCATGTAACTAATGTCTAATTTTAAGCTGTAGTCAGAATGTGATTATGAGACCCGGGTGGGTCTCATAATCACACTTTTTTTTTCCGAGGTTTATCGGTTTATTATTGAGTTATATTGAACCTGTTGATAATGCTCATTTGCATTATCAACAGGTTCATCTATCAATCACAGCCTTTCTCAAAATTAATATGATTTAAAGATTTAAAGCAGAAAAAACAAAAGGATTAAATAATGATAATTTTATCATAAAAAGTAGTTTTTATTTTGTCACTAACTATCCAGCCTGAGAGCATGGCCTTGTTCCTCTCTTATACCACTCACAAGCAACTTTAACCAACTTGCACAATTTCAGGCTTGTACAATACTTTTAGATTCAGCAGCATCAAATTTGAATGTCTTAGTTTGAAGTTGTTAAATATGTAACAAATGTGTTTTGCCAATATTCGCTACACACTATCACTCGAGGATTTCAGTGTCTCTTGTTAACAAATCTGCCACTTTTGTAACTGGTGTTTGGATAATCACATTTTGACCATGATTTCAATATGCAGTTTATCTATCCTTATTTTTACAGCTTAATACATGCTCAGTCGAGCCTTACTAAAGGAAATCATTTATGAAGCTTCTTTATAAGCATTCGATTTAGAATTTTGTCTATGAATTCCTTAAATATAAAGATTTGTATTAAATTTCTGGGGCTGTATAAGCTTAAAGTCACTTAAAGTTAAAGCTTTACTGTAATAAAAACACACAAAATTATAACATTAATTTAATTTACCATAACATACTGTACTCCTTCAGTGATATTATTCAAAACCTGACGTCATGTTTCTTGTACGATGATTTTGTTTTAAATATCAATTAGACTATTGATATGAATACTCACTACATGCAGAAGGCCACTAGCATTACTCACTCAATATGGCAACAACATACAAAAACTGGGTCACGGAAAGCAAATTCAAAACAAGAGCATGAAGCAACTAAAAAGTACGAGCTCCAACAAACTGAATAAAGAGCAAAACTAACATTATAAAATTACTGGTACAAAATGTTGAGCTCAAAATATTTCCTACATGTTTTCTCTAATCTTCTGTAATATTAATGCTGCAAAGAGTATCTATAACATTAATGAATCGGCAAACGAGGGAAACAAACGAGCCTATTTGTAATTCTTTATATCAGAGATGACCAAAATAATTTATCGGATATTACACCCAAACACGTAAAGCATTAAACCCATTAAACATAGTTAACATAAAAGACAAAACTTGTTTATGATCAAGACCTTTTATATACGAAGGACAAAATATTTAATATTTACCCATGTTTAAACACAATCAATATGGAAATTAAGCATATTAAATGAATGCAAGAATAAATGACAAGGAATTAATGGTAAATTTAAGTCTTCCAAGGTTTATAAAATGAATTTTTTCTTGAGAAAGATTTTGTTAATATGAATGGTACAAAAAGGCGGTGGTGGTGGTGGTTGTTCTGCTACAGGTCCCCCCACACAATGACTCGCTGGCAGAGTCAGGCAACAACACACACCTACTGTACCCTTCATGAAAGATGTAAACAATAATACTGTATATCAACGCTAAAAATGTGGCTTATGATTTCTCATTTGTTTAAATTAATCATTTTAAATAGGACTTCATGAGACGTATCTCAAGTGCTCTCGTGCTCTCGCTCGCTCTCTCGTGCTATCTCTCTCTCTCTCGTACTATCTCTCTCTCTCTCTCGTACTATCTCTCTCTCTCGTACTATCTCTCTCTCTCTCTCGTGCTATCTCTCTCTCTCTCGTGCTATCTCTCTCTCTCTCGTACTATCTCTCTCTCTCTCGTACTATCTCTCTCTCTCTCTCTCCTCTCTCTCGTTCTCTCTCTTCTCTCTCTATCTCTCTCTCTCTCTCTCTCTCTCTCTCTCTCTCGTGGCTCTCGCTCGGTCTCTCTCTCTCCTCTCTTCGCCTGCCCTCTCGGGCTCTCTCTCTCTTAGCTCTCTCTCTCTCTCTCTCGTCTATCTATCTTCTTCTCTCTCTCTCGTGCTATCTCTCTCTCTCTCTCTCTCTCTCTCTCTCTCTCTCTCTCTCTGGTGCTCTCTCTTGTGCTCTCTCTCTCGTGCTCTCTCTCTCTCTCTCTCTCGTGCTCTCTCTCTCTCTCTGTCGTGTTGCTCTCTACTCTCTCTCTTTCTCTCTATCGTGCTATCTCTCGTGCTATCTCTCTCTCTCTCTCTCGTGCTATCTCTCTCTCTCTCTCTCGTGCTATCTCTCTCTCTCTCTCTCGTGCTATCTCTCTCTCTCTCTCTCGTGCTATCTCTCTCTCTCTCTCTCGTGCTATCTCTCTCTCTCTCTCGCGTGCTATCTCTCTCTCTCTCTCGTGCTATCTCTCTCTCTCTCTCTCGTGCTATCTCTCTCTCTCTCTCTCGTGCTATCTCTCTCTCTCTCTCTCGTGCTGCTATCTCTCTCTCTCTCTCGTGCTATCTCTCTCTCTCTCTCTCGTGCTATCTCTCCCTCTCTCTCTCGTGCTATCTCTCTCTCTCTCTCTCGTGCTATCTCTCTCTCTCTCTCTCATCGTGCTATCTCTCTCTATCTCTCTCGTGCTATCTCTCTCTCTCTATCTCGTGCTATCTCTCTCTTCTCTCTCTCTGTGCTTATCTCTCTCTCTCTCTGTGCTATCTCTCTCTCTCTCTCGTGCTTGTTCTCTCTCTCTCTCTCTCGTGTGCTATCTCTCTCTCGTGCTCTCTCTCTCTCTTGTGCTCTCTCTCTCTCTCTAGTGCTCTCTCTCTCTCTCTTTTCTCGTTTTTTGCTCTGCTCTCTCTCTTCTCTCTCGTGCTCTCTCTCTCTCTCTCTCTCTCTCGTGTTCTCTCTCTCTCTCTCTCGTGTTCTCTCTCTCTCTCTCTCGTGCTCTCTCTCTCTCTCTCTCTCTCTCTCTCTCTCTCTCTCTCTCTCTCTCTCTCTCTCTCTCTCTCTCTTCTCTCTCTCTCTCATGGAATTTAAGATGAGAAATTTATAACAAAAAATGAAAATACAGTTCTAATGTATTTTATTACAAATTTGTTAAAAACTTATTATTTTAATGTTTAAAAATATTATTCTACAGGAATGAAAAGATTGCTATGCATGTATTAACTCTTTAAAAATATCCACAGTATAAGCAATAGGAGTAAAATTAATATTTATGCAAGTATCTTTAAAAACAAAGTTACAATTTGCTGATATTTTATCCGGTACAAATGACTTTTTTACTGGGTTCCCTTGGTTCAGGCCCCAGTCACCCTGATGCCACACAATGTTACGCTTCTTTACTACAAAGTAATAATTTTTTACCACTAGTTCCTTGCCATTATTTTATATATCTCATGTTTTATAATTTCACTTTTGAATTTAAAAACTTATGGATAAAAAAATTACAAATACTGTATGTTCAAGATATGTTTGTATATTTGTCATTAAAATGAGTTATCAAATATCAATACTAAATAGAAACCAGTGTGAATTCACTCACCTCATCAAAGAAAATCTGGGTGATCTGTAAAACATGTTTCAATTCTGTCAGTTCAAGCGAGTTCTTCTTTAGGGTTTCAGCATTCCCATTGACTTCCCTCAATTCATTCTCCAATTTCTCAAATGTGGCCTGTTGCATACAACAAATTTTAGTACCACAAAGGAAACTATCGACATGCCAAATAGATTGGTAAAAAAAAACAGCATTGAATGTAATGACATGCCCATTTCTGAGTGGCTCCCTGAAGCTACTGTATCTGATATAGTGCCAATTATTAGGTACTACCAGTCGCCGAGCTCTATTTTTCCTACCGAGGACCACAAGCCAGAACCTGGCCCTTTCAGAGTGACATTGGGAATGATGGCCATTATGATAAAATTGTTAGAAAAATTAATCATGTTTACCATCACCAGAGAAG